TAAAATGATAAACCTAAATCCTGCTATTTCAATAATGTTAAATACAACTTGGCATACATATAAAGATAAATTTTTCAGAGAATAAAAACATTACTCAATTATAGCTGCATGAAAGAAATTATCTTAAAATAGAAAATACGTGGTTTAAATGTAAAAGGATCTAAAAATATACAATGTCAACAAAAATTTAAAGAACACTAAAGTGGCTATATTAATAACAGAGAAAGTAGACTTCAGAGAAAAAAAACAAACAAAACTACCAGGCATAAAGTACATTATTGCAAAATGACAAATGGATCAATTCACTAAGGGGACATAACAAATGTAATTGTGTATGCTTCAAAATACATGAAGCTAACACTGAAAAATAGAGAAATCCAATATTACAGGTATCAACACCAATCTCTCAGTATTAAATAGAAATAGTAGACATAATTTAAGTATCCCTACAGAAAAACTGAAAAGTACCATCAACCACCTGGATCTAACTTCGATTTATAAAACACTTAATGAGCAATGTGCACTCTTTTCAAGTGTACCTGGAACATTCACCAAATAAGATTATTTCTGGGATAAGATTAATAAAATTACTACCTATTGGGTGCTATGCTTACGACCCAGGTGACAAATTCAATTGCACCCTAAACTTCATCTTTGCATAATATACATTTGCAACAAACCTGCACATGTACCCCCCGAATCTAAAATAAAAGTTGAAAAAGAAAAAAGGATAAAGCAAACGCTGACAGTTTTAAAACGAAATCATATACAAATTATCTTCTCTGATAGTTATGAAATTAAACTAGAAAAAAAATCAGCAAAATTTCCAAACCTGTGGAAATTGTTTCTAAATAAACCATGGGTCAAAGAGGTACTAAAAATAATAGAAAATATTTTGAATACAAAATATCAAAATTAATGGGATACAACTAAAGCTGTTCTTCACAATATTAAACATTAGAAAATGTTGTTTCATGTTGTCTAATACACGACCATATAATTAATACAGAAAAATGCATGAATCCAAATTTAATATTTACTCCTGATGAAAAACTCTCAGCAAACTAAAAATACAAGATAACTTTCTCAACCTGATAAAGGACTTCTGTAAAAATCTACAGTTCATATTATTCTTAACAGTGAAAGGTGGAAGACCTTATTCCTAAAATTGGGAATAAGAAAAGGAAATCTTTTTCCCTCTCCTGCTGGAAATATTGGTCAATTTACTAAGACAGGAAAAAGAAATTTTACAAGACCTAACTCTTAGAAGAAAAAAAGAAATAAGGTACTACATGTTCAAAGAAGACGTGACTGTCATTGTAGAAAATAAATTAGAATCTATAAATAGATAATTAAAATTAATATGTGCATTCATCAATGTTACAGAATACAACACAATACAGTCAATGTAAAAATCAACTATATTTATTTAATATAACGCCGAACATTTAAGATGAGAATAAAAAATATTATGCCACTTACAATACCTTCAAAAATAAAATATTTATATACAAATCTAACTAAACATTGTAAGGAGTGTGAATTAAAAAGGGTATATTTTTCTGAGTATAATTTGAACTTTTAGTTGATTTTGAGACACTCCAAATTAGATTTAAAGATTATTCTAGTCAATGCCCCAGAATAACTGCATGGGAGCAATTAGTAAGGTATTGATTCAAAGAAGTAAAAAAATATGTAGTCTTGGAATAGAGTGATGAAAAGTGGCTAAGCTCAGAATATGTGTTAAACATACACATCAACAAACTTGCTTATGGATTGGAGGTAGAAGGGGAATCAAATATAAATTGAGATGTACGGGCATGACAATTGTATAACTAGCATTGTTATACAATTGAATTAAATGAAGAAGACTATGGAGGAATCCTCTGATGAGGAAGGCCTCAAATTGCAATTTTGGACATGTTAAGTTTGAAATAATTGTTTTCCAAGATTCAAATTAAGAAATAAAATATACCAGAAGTAAAATATAGTAGAACTTAGTAGAGAGGCCAAAGTTCTTATTTCAGCCAAATAATCCAGAGTAAGCATACTTAAGAAATACACACACACACACAGTTGAAAACAAAGTCTGGAGACAGTCCACTATTTTGTACCAAGAAAGAGAGGCAAAAACAAACAAACAACAAACAAACAAACAAACAAACAAACAAAAAACAAAAAACAGAGAAAAGCAGGTGGAGGGGGAGTGGCTAGTAAAGTAGGAAGAGACAACAAAGTAGTATATCACTTCAGAAACAAAGTGAAGAAAAATCTAGAATCATACAAGTGTTTATATAAGTGGTATAAATACATAGTATAAAATACTATTAAGAGTTTGAATTGACAACTGAAAAGTGAACAACTAAATTTAGCAATATTAGGTACCTCTGATAAGATAGTGTGATAAGGATGTGGTATAGATTGAAAATGAGATAGAAAAAAGAAAAATAAAAACTGTTTATAATTTTTTTAGAAAACTTTGGAATAAAATGTAATAGAAATAAAGAACAGAAAATAGGAACATATTGTTGATGGAAATAGACATAGAAAGACTTTTTTAAATGAAGATAGCTATTACAGCATGTGTGAATGTTGACTGGAATGGGCAGCCATTAAAATGGAAAAACAAATAGTGCTGAAAAATAAAGATGTTATACAGGAAAAAATGACCTGGTTATAGTAGAGTGGATGAGATCAAATGCACAAGTTGAGTAGCTTTTTATTTTCTTGTCATCTATTGCTACATAACACATCACTTCAAATTTTCAAAGCACTGGCTTAGAAAATAGTTTATGGTATCTCATAATTTTGTGAATCAGAAATTTGAGCAAGGCTGGGATGGATAGCTTTTTTTGCCCTAGGAGATTTGGACTTAGGTCTTTTCAAAAATGTTTTGTATCTCGTGATTGGTACCTAAGCAGACGTGACTGGAAGGCTAGGTTTAGCCAGGCCATTGACTGAACAGCATTCATGTAGCCTATCTAATATATCAATCTCACAGTAGTCAACAATTTTGCATGTGACTCAGGGGCATCAAGGAAAGAGAATCAAGAGTTCAGACATAATCTGCAATGTATTTTATGATATACCTCAAAATGTACAGAACATCGCTTCTGCCACAATATAATGTTTAATTCCTTGCATCCGATTAGATTCAAGGGAAGATACATTAGCGTTTACCTGTTAATGGAGGCATGTTGAAAGATGTGCAGTTATTTTTAATGTACTTTAACCTTGCAATGTCATCACCAGATTTTAGTAGCTGTTAAGTATTAAAAAGCTTTAATCTATTTGAGGATTTATTTAGTGTTTACTTTAAAAATGTTTACTTATTAGATTTTTTAATAGAAAGATCTTATTAAATATGGTTGCCAAAATCTCTTTGAGTCTTAGACCTAAAGTAATTCTACTATTTTCTTTTGAAATAAATACCTTTTTGTTATTTACATTAAATATTAAAATAATTGGTAAATTATAGTGTATTTGATACATATCAGGTGTTAGCTTATGGTACCTTTTGGCATTTTCTTTCCAAATCAGCATGCATTTGCAAAGTACTTCAAAATTGAAACAAAGCTGAGCTCAGATTACATACAAATTACCTTCCATATAACCTTATTGTATTTAAAAAAAGTCCAATTTACCTTGCACAAAATGGTGTGTGTGTGTGTGTGTGTGTGTGTAAGTTGACAAAAGTCATTACAGGAACAAAGGAAAAGAAGTACTCAAGAAAATCTAAAATATTGGAAAGAGAGTACAATCCATGAGCATGTATAACTGACCACTGATATCAAGAAAAACTAATAAAAGTGGTGAAAAAGAGAGTGAGGAGAAAACCCACAAAGTATAGTAAGTCTACTGCTGTCATAATTTGTCAAATATTTTTATGACTAAATTTCTCATTCTGAGATAATTAACATTTCAGATGAAAACTGGTATGAGGAAAGGAAGAGGGATGGTTGACGAGACTGCAACCATGTTAGGTGGTGTGCTGAGATCTACTTCAGGAAAAAAATGGAATGAACAGTCTACAATTACCATTATCCCAATTTGGAATTAGTAAAATGGTTTGATGACAGTTAAATAAGCTCCATGTTTAATGTCCAATAAAATAAAATAAAGTAAGATAAAATAACACATTTCTTTAAAATTAATGACATTGAAATGATATAACATATCTATTCAAATTGATACTTTTTGAACAAAAATAGATTGTTAAATTTGTTTTTTTGAAAATCAAGATGATTGATTTTAGAAAGAAGTTCTGATGCCAAACTAAGAAAATACTGAGAGAATTTAAAAATGTATATGACTTCCTCACCAAACTACAGATTAGTATGTCCTGTTGCTGTTTGCATCCCATCTGTGAATAATGTGAAGAAATACAGCTGCTTCTGAATTAAATACTCTTCTTCCTAATTTGCATCTTTATTTCACTAGAGAAATGATTAAGAGATTTTTTTAAAAAGCACTAAAACAGATGTCATTGAGAATGACCAAGTTTTACAACCCAAGTTGTAGTTCATAAAACTAGTAAAAAAAATCAGTTTTATATCCTTCTTTGACTGAATCACTAAATGAATGACATGAAATATATACAGATACCAAAGAATGCCTTCCTTCCTAAATTGCATGTATTTGTATGTGTATTTGAGTATATGTTGTTTGCCTTCTAAAGTAGAACTATAAATACATCAAAGAGATTCAGACCATGCTCCTTAGAAGTTAATGCATATAGCCAACTGATAAAACCAATGATTGATCTTCCTGTTCCTAATACTTACCCACAAACCCTTCACACTAGAGCTGATTCTTATTAAAACAGATCTGCTAATCTCTTCTTTTTACATTTTTCTTGCTCAAAGTTATTTGGGAACTCCTCATTAAAATACATTTTGTAGGCCAATTCTTTGATCTTAAAAACCCTAACAAGATGAGGTACCAAAATATCGTCTCATTTTCCACCACCTTCCCAATGTACTTATCCACATTGTACTTACCCACAATGTCCTCTCACTTATCACTCATGCTATTCTTGGTGCTCCAATGCTCTTCTCCTGCTGTTTACCTTCAACAGAGTCATAATTCAAAGGTCAGCTCAAATGCTTTCCTCTAATTTTCTCTACTCGGTCAAAATTCACACATTCCTTTGGTTATCATATTTTTTGTTTATTCCTTGTAACATTTAGATAATTTATCTCATATTAGTGATAATTCTGTAAATCTGTTCCACATAGTAGACCTAAGTCTGCATGTTTGTCAAATATTTGTGCTCCTGTATCCCACACAATTGCTCATTCAATACATTCTTTACACATCAATTATTGTATTCATAAGGGATAACAGCTCCCTGTATAAAAATGATTTATCTAACAGCAGAAGCTAATAAATTGAAGAGGAGAGAAACATAGCTAAATTTATCTTCACTATATTTAGAAAGTAGAATGTATACAATCAGGCCTTGCACCCATGAGTAATTTTTGAGAATGTGCATTTTATGTAAAGAATTACTCCTTATTTCTTTCATTTCTTAATTTCAGACTATTTTGAATTGTATTACCAATTAGATTTCTCTAATAAAAAGAAATATAAATAGCATATATGTATTTTTATAATCTTGATATTCTTCTGGTAGTTTATAACTTGGTACTTTTAAGTTACATCTTAAAAATTTTTCAATTTTTAATTATAAATTTTTAAGTAATATACTTTTGACTGATAGAATGTTATAAGCATTTAATTAAAATAAAAGTATACTACCCCCATGAGGTAGAAAATTGCATTCTAAATATTCATTTAAATTATATTTTCATTTCTTAAGCAACTGACTTTGAAATACTATCCTTGAAAATCGAAGTAAAAGTTTCTGTAACATTTCCCTGAAAAGCTTTAATAGTGAAAAATTTTACTACTATAAAACATATTTTATTTGAATATATACAATAAAACTTACATAAGTCTAACTTCAGAGCCTAATATAGTCATTTTATGTAAGTAACATTAGCACTAGTCCAAAAATAGATATTTCTAAAAAGTATTGAGATTCTTAGGTGATATTTATTTATTATCATGGAGTACAATTCTAAAGCAAGTTTTTAAAATGTTTGAAATAATGGTGTCTTTGTGGACATAAATAAATAAATTATTTGAAAATCAATGAAATATACTAGATGCTTTGTCATATAAAACTTTCTTGTGCTTTTAATGACATGTATGTTAAACCTAATTATATTATTTTCTTCAGCTTATTAGTGCATTAAATATTGTATTTGAAACAATAATGTATACAAAGTTTTGTTAGAAAAATGACTTTTGAAAAGCTTTTTTGGGGTCAATAAAGAAAGTTATCCTTGTTTCTTTTAGGGTAATTTTAATGATTGTAGTGCTTCTGGAATTGCCAAAATATTTCAAATCTCAGTGTTCCATAACTGTTAATAGAACTTTGTAAAATACCAACTACTAAGGCTTCAGGTTTATGCTAATTTTCTGGCTTTGATACATATATTTAAAGGCAATAAGACTAGAGACTCTAATGGCTAAATTTATTCATGATTAAGTGCAAAAAAAATTAAAAATCTTCAAGTGAGATTTCTCCTTATGTGTAAAAGAATAGTTTAAAGTGTTTGTATGAGTTTATTAATATATACTAATCCTTATAATAAAGCAAAATAATAGACATGACACTTTTAAAATTTGACATATTTTTATCTTAGAAAAATAGTCTGCCATTTAAAAAAAGAATATATATAATTTCAAACATATTGTAAAATAGAACTATTTTCACTATGTATAGTGAAATGAAATTAAATGCCCAAGTTTTAAATGGCCAGATGCTTCATGGTAACTACACTCAAAAGAACTATCATTTATTGCTCCCCACCTGGCCAGTTTTTTAAAAGAGGTGTCCTGCAATTAGATTCCCAATATTTGGAATTGTGTGTTTCACTCATTATTCTTATTAGTTGCTTTATCTATTTCAGTAGTTTTATGGGGGCAAAAATGGTATGTTGCAGTTATTTTTGATAGTCTTTACAGAGTCATTTTCTAATAAAAGATTTTTAAATGTATGAGTTTGTGTGAAGTAAAATTTTACATGAAAATAAGTTTACATAACAGCAATTTGATATCCCCCATTATTGAAATGACAAGCCTGTAAGACCATTGCGTTATCTGTGACATAATGCAGTCAATTCTGGTTCATCATTTCTTAGTAAAATTGAAATGATATTTCAAATTTTGAACTCTAGAAAATATATTTAAGATGAAACTCCAAATTTTCCATCATATATATATATGTAATTAAGATTTTTATATTTTTATTCAACATCTCAGTACTACCCAAGTCTATAAGAGCTAAGAACATTAAACCATTTAACAAAATGTTGTAAATGAATGACCTGCAAGACATTATAGTAAGCATTTTGTATGACACAAAGGCAAAAACCACAAGGTTCCTACTCTTAAAAATTTCAAGGTCCAGTTAAGAGTATCAGTCACAGAAACACTGAATTAATTGGTAAATTTGCCAACAAACACAGAGTGGGAGAGAAAACAATAATTAAAAATAACGGTTTTATGAGGATCAGAAAATATCTTAGAAAGAAGAGGCATCAAAGAGAGAATCTTATTTTCATAAGTAGGGAAAGAGGTGATAAAAATTTTGACTGAACTATTTAAAAACTCAGACACTTATCTATATATATTTATACCCAAATGTTAGAGTTTGAAATATCACACCCAGCTGTTAGAAGACATCAAGTTTACACTTGCAAATTATAGAAAAGTTAATATTAGAAAATTTAATTTTCAAATGTTCAAGTAGAAATAAAAATAACAAGAGCTAGACAATAAAATAAAATCATCACAAAACCATAACCTATCTTGGAAGAGTTTATGCTTGAGATGTAGGGTGAGCAGAATAAATTTGGGAGGTGAAGCAAAATGGTCAAATAAAATGCCTCAGCAATTGTTCCCCCTACAGAAACACCAAATTAAACAGCTATCTATGTAAAAAAAAAAAAAAAAAAAAAAAAAAAAAAAAAAAAAAAAAAAAAAAAAAAGCACCTTCATAAAAAACAAAAATTTAGCTAAGTTATCACAGTACCTGGTTTTAGCATTATAACAAGGAAAGACACAATGAATATTATAGGAAGGATAGTTTCAACATTGCCTACACCACCCCTGTCTCATCCCCAGGCAGTGCAGCCAGGGCATAGAATCTGTGTCTTTAGGAGAGGGAGAGCAAAGTGATTGTGGAATATTGCATTAGAACTAAATGTTGCCTTGTCACAGTAGAACACAGTACTGGACAGAATTCTGCCGGTGCTCATGGAAGGAGCATTTAGACCAGTCCTGAACCACAGGAGAATTATCTTCCCTGGCAGGAGAAACCTGAGTCTTGGACCATTTCACTAACTAAAGTGTCCTGGGCCCTAAATAAATGTGAATGGTAATCGGGCCATAGGGACTGCACTCCTTGGGCAAGCCCTGGACATTGTGGACTTGGGGTACAGCCCAGCACACCACCAGCTGTGGTGGTTATGGGAGTGCCTGCATCACCCCTCCCCCAATTCAAAGAAGTACAGGGTGCAAAGAGACTTCTATCTGGGGAAAGAAAGGGAAGAGTACAATGGACTTTGTCTTGCAACCAGATACCAGCTCAGACACAGAAAAATAAAGAACCAGGCAGAATCCTGAGGTCCCCAGTTTTAGATCCCTGCTCCCTGATGGAAATTCTAGGCCCACCCCAGGCCATAAGGGAATCTGTTGCCCTGGTGTAACAGAGTCCTAACAGGATTCACCACCTGCTGACTAAAGTAACCTTGGACTCTGAATAAACATTACCAAAAGCCAGGCAATAGCAGCCACAAGTCTTGGGTGAATCCTGACTGGTATTATGTTGGTCAGGGAGGTTCTCAGCTTTGTGCGTGAACCAGTGCCGTGCCAACTCTGGGAGCCACATCAGTTCTTGTAGGACACACAGCCCATTATCCCTGTCCCAACTCCAAGCAGCCTAGCCAGAAGAAAAATTTATTTTCCTAAGGGGAGAGAACAGGAAGAGAATGAAGGATTTTACCTGGGAACCATGAAATTTGCTCTTATTTTCCCCAAGTTTACCATAGCTGTGTATCTAAGAGTCAGCAAGAGTCACAGCATACCTTGACTTAGAGTCAAGAGTTGAAACAGCTGCAGTGACCACAGACTTAGCGAACTTAACATTCAATACCCTTAGGATTCTGGGAAATGCTTCTCTCGAAGGTAGGTTAAAACAAGGCCAGATTACAAAGATTGAAATAAACACCTATCTCTGTAATGCCCTGATATTAATGAAAATTTACAAACATCAAGAGGTTGCAGGAAATATGATCTCATCGAATGGATTAAATAAGGCAACAGTGACCAATCCTAGAGTGACAGTGATATGTGACATCTGAGACAAGGAATACAAAATAGCTGTTTTGAGGAAGTTAGATGAATTTCAAGATAGCACAAGGAAAAAATTCAAAATTCTTTTGGAAAAACTTAAAGAGATTGAAATAATTTTTGAAAAACAGGAAATTTTGGAGCTAAACACTTTGATAAACTCTAAAATGCATCAGTGTCTCAACACCAGAATTGATCAAGCAGAAGAAAGAATTAGTAAGTTCATAGGTTATTTTAAATTACACAGCTAGAGGAGAAAAGAAGAAAATAATTTTTAAAAATATGCTTACAGGATTTAGAAAATAGCCTCAAAAGGGAAAATTTAAGTGTTATTGATCTTAAAAAAGATGTATTCATATAAATAATAATAGAACTTTTCAAATAGAGAAATATATAAATACCTAGGTACAAGAAGGTAAAAGAACACCAAAAAATGCCACTTACATAAAACTATCCCAAGGTATATGATAATCAAACTCTCAAAAGTCAAAAACAAAGAAAGGATCCTAAAACCACCAAGAAAAAAGAAGCTAATAACAAATAAAAAAGCTCTGATATATCTGGCAGCAGATTTGTGTGGAAATTTTATAGGCCAGTTGAGAGTGAGATGACATATTTAAAGTGCTGAAGGATTTAAAAAAAAAATTAAAAAGAACAAAACAAAACAAAAAAATTCAACCCAAAGTTTCTCACCAAATGTGGAGGTGATATAAAGACTTTTCCAGACAACCAAAAGCTGAGATTTTTTATCAACAACAGATTTGTCCTACAAGAAATGCTAAAGGGTATAAAACTCACTGGTAAAAGTAAGTAAACAGACAAATTCAGAATACTCAAATATTGCATTTGTGATGTGTAAACCACTGATATCTTGAGCATGAAGACTAAAAGACAAATCTATCAAAAATAATAACAATAATTTGTTAATAGAGAAACAATATAAAATATATGAATAGGGACAATAAAAAAGTAAAAATGTAGGGGAGATGAAGTTAAAGTGTAGTTTTTTTTTTTAATTTTCTCTTTGCCTGCTTGTTATTCTTTAATTTTCTTTGTGATCAGAGTTAAGTTGTCATTAGTTTAAAATAATTGCTTAGAAGATTTTTTACATGTCTCATGGAAGCCATGAACCAAAATTCTAAGAGATACTCAAGAAATAAAAGAAGATATTAAAACATACTTCCAGAGAAAATCACCTAGAAATCACCTACAAAGAATACACACACACACACATATACACACAGAAAGAAAGCAAGGAGTTACAAAACAACCAGAAAACAAATAGCAAAATGGCATTAGTAAGTCCTTACCTATTAATATTAATCTTGATTGAAAATGAGTTCATTAATTTTCAATGAATTATTATTATATATTCAATATATAATAATAATTATTCAATAAAAAGGCATAGAGGGACAACTGATTTTAAAAGAAAGATTCAATTATATGATGCCTACAGTAAACTCATTTCACTTATAAAGACACACATAGACTTAAGTGAAGGGAAGGAAAAGTATATTTTATGCAAATGGAAATTTTCTAAAAAGCAGGAATAGCTGTATTTATATTAGATAAAATAGATTAGAAGTCAAATACTATAGAGACAAGAAAGACATTATATAAGGAGATAAATTATAAAGATGGTATAAAATAGTGTGTGTAAATATGCATACACCCAACACTAGAGCACCCAGATACGTAAAGAAAATATTATTAAAGTTAAGGAAAGAGAAGACCCAAATACAGTAATAGTTGTAGACTTTAACAACCTACTTTTAGCATGGACAGTTCTTTTGGACAGAAAATCAACAAAGAAATATCATACAACAGATCAAATAAATATAATAGACATTTACAGAACATTTCATCTCACAACTGCAGAATAAACATTCTCACTAGCACATAAAATGCACTCTAGGATAGACCATATGTTGAATAAAAATAAAAACAACAAAAATCTCAATAAACATAAAACAGTTAAAATTATATCAAGTGTCTTTTCTGACCGCAAAAGAATAAAACAATAAATCAATTTAAAAAAGAACTCTGAAAACTGTCCAAATGCACGAAACCTAAATCACATGCTCCTGAACAACCAATAGGTCAATGAAGAAATTTTAAAAACATATAATTTTTTGAAACAAATGAAAATGAAAATACAATATACCAAAATCTATGGGATACAGAAAAAGCAGTACTGAGAGAAATTTTTAGACTAAATATCTACTTCAAAAAAAAAAGAAAAAATTGTAAAAGATTTCACATAACCTAACCATGCACCTCAAGGAACTAGAAAAGTAAGAACAAACAAAACCCCAAGTTAGTATAAGAAAAGAAATAATAATGACTGTGTCAGAAATAAAATTAAGACTAAAAAACAATACAAAAGATTAGCAAATGATGGGTTTTTTGAAAAGATAAACAAAATTGACAAACCTTTAGTTATACTGAGAAAAAGAGAAGACTCAAAACACAAAGTTAGAGATGAAAAGTGAGATACTACAATTGATATCACAGAAATTCAAAATACTTCTAGAGACCATTATGAATAAATACATACCAATATATGGAAAAACCTAGAATAAATAGATAAATTTCTAGACACACACAACTTACCAAAATTGAACCATGAAGAAACAGAAAGTCTGCACAAACCAATAACAAGTAATGATATGGAAGCAGTAACAAAAAGTCTTTCATCAAAGAAAAACCCAGGACTTGATGGCTTCATTTCTGAAAATTACCAAATATTTAAAGAAAACCTGATACCAATTCTACTCAAACTATTCCAAAAAATTGAGGAGAACAGAATACTTCCAATCTCATACTATGAAGCCTGCATTACCCTGATACCAAAAACACATGAATACAAAACAACAACAACAAAACTACCAGCCAATTTTACTGATGGTGAACACAGATGCAAAACTCCTTAACAAAATACTAGCACACTGTATTAAACAACACATTTTAAAAAATCATTCATTGTGAACAACTGGGATTCATCTCAGGGATGCCAGAATGATGGTTCAACATACACAGATCAATGAATATTAGTAAAATCAAGGATAAAAACCATAAGATTATTTAAGTAGATGCTGAAAAACCATTCAATAAAATTTAACATCTCTTCATGATTAAAACTCTCAACATATAGAAGGAACATACCTCAAAACAATAAAGGCCATATATGACAAATCCACAGAGAGCATCATACTGAAGGTGAACAAAAACACTTCCTTCTAAATCTGAAATAAGACAAAGAGGTCTGCTTTTACCACTTTTACTCAATGTAATACTGGAAGTGCTAAACAGAACTATTGGACAGAGAAAAAAAATAAAAAGCATCTAAATTAGAACTGAAGAAATCAAACTGTTCTTATTTGCCGATGGTATAATCTTATATTTAGAAAAATTTAAAGACTCCACCAAAAGAACTATTAGAACTGAATTTGGTAATATCACAGGATACAAAATCAACATACGAAACTAGTCCGCATTGATATATGCCAACATATTGCCAGAGAAAACATCTTTTTCTCTGAAAAAGAAATAAAATATGCAAACTCATTTACAATATCTACCAAAAATGAAAATACCTAGGAATAAATGTAACCAGATAAGCAAAAGGTTTTTACAATAAAACCTGTAAATTATTTATTAAATAAATTAGAGGACACCCAAATGGAAAGGTTTCCCATGTTAATGGATTGGAAGAATCAATGTTGTTAAATGTCCATACTACCTGAAGCAGTGTACAGATTCAGTACACTCTCTATCAAATAACCATGACATTCTTCGCATAAA